ATGACAAGGAGAAAATTCTGAGATGCTCTAAATTAAATTATGGGGCCAGAGAGTGAGAGAAAGAGACAGAACTGTTTGTGGCTGGCTGCGGGCCAACTAACAAAAGACTGCTCACATTCTTTCTATGTTTGTTGGAATTTTGGATTAATTTCCAGGTGGCTATTTCCGCAGATTATCCCAGCCAGGCACCATCAAACTCCAGGAGCCTCTCCTTCTTGTTTACACGTGGGCTTTCCTGACACCTGCCCACCACCAATCTGCAGAAGCGGACATTGCTTCTGCGACTCTGTGCCTATCCCAGAGCTGGCCCCGCTTCACTTTCTCCCACCCCTTTGCCTATATTTCAGTTTGCAACTTTCTCCCCTTTCACTACCCGATGTGTGCAGATGCCTGCAAACTCCAGAGACGATGGACATGTTTTCTTTCCTACAAGTGGGTGGTTTAGACTCAGTGCCCCTAGACCGATCTTCTTTATTGGCTAGCAATGGCCCAACAAACACTTTCTTTTAAAAGACTTTTAGCTGTTGAGAGTTAAAATTTTTTTGTTTAACACCATCTTCATAGTCCAGCTAAGGATCCTGAGACCCAAACTGAGAAACCATTGCCACAGATCAAAAATGGTAATTACACTTTGCAAATTCTCTGCAAAAAAATTAATCCTATACAAAGAGATTTTTTTTTTAAGTCCATGTTTACATAACAGTCTCTCTTATGGAAAAAAATACCAGATTTTACTGAGATTTGCTTCAAATGGGGAAGAAGAGGGGAAGGAAAGGGAATAGAAGAAAAAAGACTATTAAACTGATAACTACTGAAGTAGGGTGATCAGAAGAAGGAGGGGCATCATACTTTCTGAACCTCGTGCATATTTAAAGTTTGTACCAAAAACAGCTCAAGGGAAATCTTAACAGATTTTCTGCTCTACAAATGATTCTACTTTCCTATATTCTCCTTCTCTTCAAAAACTCACTTGAATTCTCATACCACCTTCTGTAAGACAAACCATTCAATGGCGGAAACCACACTACATGGAGATATCATGAACACAGTATTTTCCATCTTGTCCTCCTAGTTCTTCAGAGCACTCGCTAATTCACTAGAGAGAGGCAGGTCCAATTCATCTGCCTCAGACTGGGAATATAATTTCCAGCACTATACCCAAAACAAAATTCAGGATCTTAAGACTCTCTCTTTCTGCATCATCATCGTTGACACAACAAATAATCTAATGTTTTCCATATGCCAAGAGGTATGCTGAAATACATGTATTACCTTCTTAAATCTAGGCAACAATCCTGAGAGGTTATTATCTCTATTTACAGATCAGAAATTGAAGCTCACAATTTAAGTACTGTGCATAGAGTCACCCAGGTGTTAGGTGATGGAATTAAGGTCTGAACCTCGGTCTAATTCTAAAGTCTGTATTTTTCTTTTCCATATCGATTCTCATTTTGTATTAAAAATAGGAGGAACGAATAAAGTATAGAAACGATAATCTGGTCAAACTGCATGCACGTCAAGTCCGTTTAAGAGCTACACCCTGAACCTGCTGACAACCATAACCATGATTTCTTTTGCTAAATTATAAATGTTTTTTTCTGATAAACAAATTTAAACAATTCAAGTTCTTGATAACTATTTCACAAAATTATGTTGGCAAATATTTACTGATCGCTTACTGTGTGACAAACACTGTTCAGCCGCTTGAGGATATAGCAGCAAAGAAGACACAGCCCTGTCATCTAGTGGGAGAAGACAATAAACACGTGAACGATTAAATAAGGTAATTTTCAGAAAATAAAGTGACGTGATAGAAAGCAACTGAAGAAACCACTTGAAATACGGTCATTAGGGAAGGCCTTTCTGAGGAGGTATATCTGAGCTTGGATCTAAATGATAAGGAGACAGGATTGGAGAAGCTTGAGAGGGGGCAGGCAGGGCAGGTAGCGTAGGAACTTGTGGGCCATCGTGAAAGAAGTGTCGATCTTAACCCTGTTGCAATGGGATATCCCTGACGAATTTGAAAGCACAGGAATGACATCTGTTTATGCTACAGAAGATCTTCAAAAAATGATGGTAATGAATGCTTCAGTCAAACAAATTAAAAGAAGCCTAAATAAAACCAGTAGGACCCATCCATGGAATATATCTTCGGGAAGCCTACCTGCCTTCTCTGAATTATGTCCTTTAAAGTGAACAAAAGTTTCTTATTAAACATTAAGAAACAAAGGACAAAATGAAAATCTCTCTCGAAGAGCTAACATAGTTACTTAAATTCGCACTAAGGTCTACGTAAAAATTACCGAATGGACGCCAGAAAAAAAAAAAAAGAGAAGCAAAATTGGGACCAGAAAGATGGACAGAAAGCCTGGGAATGCCAAAAACACCTACTTCACAGATTTCCCTAAAGCTGACTTAGAAACTAAACTCAAATTAAAATAATTCTAACTCTAAAGAAATAAGAAATTAAATGAAAATGAGGCTCAATGCATAAACTATTTTTACTGTATCCCTCACTAGTATCCTGGATATTTCTCTCAAAAGGCTTTACTTACAATGAGATAGATGATGTTCATTAAATGTACAGCTGACCCTCGAACGAGAGTTTGAATTGTGTGGGTCCACTGATGTGAATTTTTTTCAATATGTACAGTATTGTATTTGCTCTTATGATTTTAATAACATTTTCTTTTCTCTAGCTCACTTTATTGTAAGAATACAGTATATAATACATTAATATATTTAACATACAATATGTGTGTTTGTAGTTTATGTTATTGGTAAGGCTCTCAGTCAACAGGAGGCTATTAATAGTTAAGTTTTGGGGGACACGAATTTTTGACTGCTCAGGGGTTGACATCCCTAAACTCTGCGTTGTTCAAGGGTCAAATGTAAATATAAATCAACTACAAATTATCCTTAACCATTTTACGAAGTTAAGTTCCATTCCACTAGGAGAAAAAAATTCAGATTTTTACAAAGTCAAAAGCATTTAACTTTATAAACTATACATAATGCACTTCAAATGAAATCGTCTTCCTAAAGCAATCATTTTTGCCTTCTCAAGATATCAACAAGGAAAATAAACCCAAGCACAATATCAACAATAGCAGACAGGAAAATTCTGGCTACAGTATATCTCTCCACTGCTGACTAGAAAAAAAATATTGTAATTGTCATTGGTAATCCCACAAGGCAGGGATGAGGACCAACTTATTCTTGCAAATGATGTAACCATATAGTTAAAAGTTAAAGCATCAGAGCTCAAAGGCAGAAAATGTTAAATGCTTGAATAACTTAGTAAAAATGTTTTAAAAGAAGGAGAACGTGTTTAAGGAAAATATGTCCTCAAGCTCACGTGAGCACTGCTCGCTACCACTGGTGAACCAAGTACATTAAAGAATATATAATCTTAAAATTGTTTATTTTACAAAGTAAATGTGGCCAATGTTATCTGATATGGCCGAGTCAAATCCTAACTCCATCATTTTACTGTGTAACCTTAAGCAACTTACTTAACCCTTCTGAGCCTTAGTTTCCCCATCTGTAAAATCAATCATTAAAAAAAGCTACTTCTTAGGGTTATTTTAAGGTATAATGAGGTCCATATATTGTAAATGACAATAAAGGGCTGGGCACATAGCACATACTTAACACGTAAGGGTCATCAAAGACCCTGTTATCATATTTGATTTCTTATGTTCTAATTTTACCTCTTGGAAAGAAAGTAACTTTGATCTATTGGTAAAACAGGCAAATCCATCTCGGTTCCAAATCTTTTCAGCATACGTTATTCAAAGAGCCTCAAAGCATCTCTTCCCACAACTTTATATAGATGGTTTAAAGCTTGGGGCCTATGATTTTGCAACTTTTAACCAACTGTTCCCTAACAGGTAAACAAAAATCAAAACAGTACAGAGGCAAAGGCAGAAGTGAAATAAGAATAACTGAATGGATGATGGCTATCACAGGTGACAAGCCACGGACAAGAAGCAACAAAAGACCTAAAATCCAAACACTGATGGATTTTGGGTCAACTTCTCAGCAG